ATTTCTGAGATCCTTGCGTTCATACAGACAGACGGACATGGCTATATCGACTCTGCTTGTCATGCTGATCAAGAATATATATATTTTGTGGGGTCTGCCACGCCTCCTTCTGTGTGTCCCATGTACACTTGCACAAAACTAATATACCCTTGTACCCTTTGGGTACAGGGGATAAAAATGATCTTGCCAAATTTTAACTGGTCGCACTCCGCGGATAAGCAAAGCTTTTGCTATAATCGCTGCAGTATGGTTAAATGGTGTAACAAGGTTCCGTGTTTTCAAAGCTGCTGAATTTAGTTAACAATTGGTGGACCTAATGGCATGTTACTGTTGCCTTTATTTGCAACCGAAGTCCAGCAGTCTGTCGTTATTGCGAAATTAGGAACTATTCATACTTGTATTTATTTGCCAGAACCACATTTTGAAAATAAGAAAATCGCAAAATAAATCAAAACATTATTTTAATACATATATTCTTTAGTATGTCAGAGCTTCACTACACCTTCTTGGAGGGCTTATGTGTATTTCTCAAAAGCATGATTGGAATTCCGATTTTTATACCCTGTACCCGGAGCGTAATAGGGTATATTAAGTTTGTGCAAAGTGTGTAACCAAACTTGGTATGCAGGCGCTATATATATATATATAAATATATATATAGCGCTCTCTCTTGTTAACTTCAATTCATGTGGCGGCAATAGGCCCAGAAGTGTTTAGTGAAATTAAAAATTCCTGTGGGTGTGTCTTCGATATTAGTCACGGTGTCAATCGATTTGTAAATATTTATTTGGCTGGGGAACTCTTGAATAATATTGCTTTAATATTTAGAGTGACATAATGCTTCGAGGACAATTCTGAACTAACAGCATCCTATTCAGGAATTTTTAAGCTAACTTTTTTACAACTTGGGCTACATTATTGGCATTTTAGTAAGGATCCCTTTTTTTTTTTTTGCAAATATAATATAGCCTATGTTAACTGGAGATAGTGTAGCTACCCAACAGTGAAAGAATCTTGTAAGTCGGTTCAGCAGTCGGAGTCTATTCAAATCAAATAAACAATCAAATCTTTCCACTTTATAATATTAGTATTGGAAACTAGAGAAATATTTCAAAACCTGACATTTGTTCTAAAAACCAGAAATATATTTGGAGGCTAAGACAGTATTTTTTTGGTGAGTTACCTTATCACCATGTTTAAGGGGAAGTGAGGGTATAAAAATTGCAGGAATTAACGGAGTTATGGAAAAATATACAAATGCTTTCACACTTACAGACGGACATGACTATATAAACTTGTCTCGTCAAACTGATCAAGGATATGTGTATATACTTTGTGGACTAAAGGTATAACTCTAAACTAGAATTCGTTATTATGTAAAAGGTATAACAAATGAGTTGCAAATACATACATATATGTGTGAGCTGGGGCAGCGATTCGAGCAGCCGCTATTTGCAGTTAGTTTTCATTTTAGTCAGCCCAGTCTAGCGTTTAAAATATCGCTTCTATGGCCCAAAATTTATTTGCCATCAAGCATTAAGTTAACAGCCAACCCGTGACACGAAACTGTCAGCTGTTGGTCGCGGAGCGGGACGCAGTTATTATAAATAATTAACGCTCGCCAATTTGTTGGAAGCGCTATAAAGTGACCCCTAACTAGAGCCATTAAATGTGTCGTGCATGATACTTAACAAATGTTAAATGTGCAATATAAATCAAATATGCGTGTGTATGTAAGTACAGATGCATGCTAGAATGTTCATATGTATGTATGTATGTATGTATATTTATGAATGGTGAAATTGAAGCATCTGCTGCATACAAAAATGTGCAGTCAAGTGGGTAAAACAAAAGTCAAACACATTAATGACAATCAGCACCAAATATTTGGGGTCGCCCTGTGAGTCGCACATTTCAATTCCCTAAAATACATATTTAAATAAAACTGATTAATCGAGAATGATGGGGCAGTTGTTGTTTGCTTGTAGTTATACTCTGTACATAAAATGTAGAAGAGTATATTAGGTTTGCGGGAGCTGAAAAATGTAACAGGCAGAAGGAGGCGTGGCAGACCCCACAAAGTATATATATTCTTGATCAGCGTGACAAGACGAGTCGCTCTAGCCCTGTCTGTCCGTCTGGATCTCAGAGACTATAAGAGCTAGAGACACCAAATTTTGCCCAAATATGCCTTGTATGTGTGCACGCTGTACAAGTTTGTTTTATTTTTTTGATTTTCCCCCCACTTCCCCCCTATGGGGGTTTTCCCGATTTTCCATTCGTATAATCGCCTATATCTCGGAGACTATAAGACCTAGGGACACCAAATTTTAGTCCAAGATGCCTTATGCGTAGAAAATGCGTATTTTGGAATTTCCCTCCCTCCCCCCTCTCCAGCACAAATCGTAACTCCCGTAATTCTTGGAATTTTATCCTCAAACTTGGAAAATACCCCTAATTGGTGATTATGTGTCTGTATGCAAAGTTTCACTATGATAGACCTATTTAACAAGAAGTTATAGCCATAAATATATTTTCAGACCAAGCTCTGCCATGCGCTGCCCGCAGCTGTTGTTGATGTTGCTGTTTGGTTGACTGCAAACATGTTTACACAGACACGAATAGACGCGCATAGACATTCATTGCTTTGAATATGTGTTATTATACACCCTTTACGTGAGTTCGAATACCGAGAGAGGTAAAATCGATCAACGTTTTTTGTTTTTAAATTTTCCTATTTTTTTAAATTTCTATAATTATTCTAAACATATGTACAGAGTATTTCAAAGTCGGGACACCCGACTTTAGCTTTTTTACTTGTTTGCTCTTGTTTCTGTTTCTCACGTGACTCAAAACAATATTACTTTAACACACATTAACAGTTACGCTAGAAAAATATGTAGAAACAACAGGAGCTGCCACTGGTCTGGGTGTGGTGTGGTCTTGGTGGTGGTGGTTCTTGTAGTCCTGCACGCAGGGGTGTCACCAACTAACGTCAAAACTTGGCTAACTGGAAGTTTTCATGCATTGCCGCTGACAGTACAATAAACATGCCAAAGCAATTGCAACAACAACTCCAACGTAAGCTGGATAGTCGGCCACGACATCTTTTGACTCGGCTTCCGGACCGGAGGAGGGGTGAGGGTATAGTTGTGTCGCTTTAAAATGGACACGTAAACAGTAAAATGCTTGTCTATGTGACTAGACCGCTTTGGGCAAAGTTGAAGTTTAGTTTTGTAAACGTTTCTCAGAAATTGCAACGAATATAGAAAGCATTTAGATCTCAGTAGAACTGAGCTAAGTCCAATATTTCTTTTGCAAACTGAATAAAAAGTCAATTGTAATGAAAAAAGTGGCTGATTGTAATGAAAAAAGCGATTTAGTATCGTTACAAGTACATACATACATGTATGTATGTATGTACATTGAAGCTATTGAATTCACTGTACGAACCATTTTCCGCGCTATATTCATTTAACTAACATAATGAAAACAGCATAAATTGGCTAATGCTCATAAAGAAACAAGTTTTTGATAAAACTTAAGATATCATGACGCACTATGTAATGCCCATAACTACCACATTTGATTGAGGATTTACTGAGGAGACATACATGCATATGTATGTACCTGTAAGGTTGAAGGGAACGTGTTCTGTGTATGGATAAAAAAAGTCTACTTACCAAGTTTCGTGTCCCTAGCTATTACGGTTCCAAAGGTATCGGTGTTTATAAAGACGGACAGGCGGATGGACAGACATACATACATATGTATATACATATGTATGTATGTTTATATGTACACATAGATGATGGAAAATGTTTGTACATAATGAGAAAAAGAACAATAAACGTTCTCAGAATGTTCAAATACATATTTTTGCATCGCCAGTCATCGGTCCTCGATAGTATAGTGGTTAGTATCCCCGCCTGTCACGCGGGAGACCGGGGTTCAATTCCCCGTCGGGGAGAAGCGCAAGAGTTTTTTTTTTGTTTTTTTTTTTTTCATTTTTGTTTGTAAATGTCAAACTTTTTCTACTTCAACAGCTTCATGCAAGCGTCGAGATGCATATCGGGGGCGCTGAACAACCCTTTTCACGCAGCCAGTTGTACCCTCGTAGTTAGACACACTACCTGAGTCGCATATAACCCCATTAATACTCATTAGTTGCCACATTTTAGTTGTTTTTTTGGACAGGCGGACTGAAAGGTAGACAAAACGACACTCTTCAGCGTGCGCCTTTATCAGCCATTTAGCCACTTGGTGTAATCCCAGACGCCCCGCCGCCCTCCCCACCCGAACAAACAATACGCGTGTTTATTATTGTTGTACCTTTGTTTTGAGTGCGGTTCGCTTTTATTTGGTTTTTGTCTATGCTCTTAATATTATTAAAAATGCACCCAAGGGCACAACTGTTTGGTTTGCTCGGCTAGTTAGGTGGTGGCTTCTCATATTCTTACGCACATACATACATATGTATGTAGTACATACATACGTAGATGTGTATGTATTGGGTCCTTTGTGCTAGACACATAAATTATACTCGTACTATTGCTCAAGACAATTAGCACTAGACCGCGGCTGGATGGGTGTTTTATATACATTTACATACATATGCAGGGTGGGTTGATGCAGGGGCCTTTGAATTTTACATATCAATAAAAATACTCGTACCTAAGTGAAAAGTGCAAAAATTGTTTGCTGGAAAATACTACAATAGATAAAAAACGCTTGACGTGCTGATGCGTCGCAAATTTCACAAGTGATAAATGATGTTACATTGACTTCTTGGGTTTGGGCTCCGTTTATTTGCGCTGTAAAATATTTTAGCATTTCTTGAGCTGTCTGTCTCCGTCTTCCCTTGGATGAATTGCATGGCATGTTTACTGTCATGTTACCCAGCGAGCTGACAAGCGCAACGACGATGGCGACGTCATTTGATTAGCTTAGAAAGCAGAGGTGGGTGGGCGGTTTACATCCGGTTCTCGTTTAGATTCTGGCTACCGAGAGCTGCGCAGTATGTTGAAGTAGCTGTACGCACCACGCACAATCTGTGCATAAAAAAGTGATTATACAGTTACAGAGCAATGCCTCAACAAAGTAGCAAGATGTAGCTTTTATCATAATAATTTCATCTGCTTAAATTGGTTTACTACTTTATCTTATGTTAGGACCGTGTCCTTTTTGTCCGTGGCAGACCCTACAAAGTACAGTATATATGTACATACGAGTAAAGTATGACAAGACGAGGAGATATAAAAATGTCTGTCCGTCTGTTTGTATGATCTTAGAATATAAAAGAGCTAGAATAACCAAACTTGGTATCCAGTTTGTCCTGAATCCAAGGAAGGCTTGTGTTTTTTTTTCCAATGCACCGTTCCTCTTTCCCCGCTGTAAGGTAATTTTCAAAGATACCGTATATTTTTGAATTTTGTATTTAAATTTGCAACATCTGGTTAGTGCTTATGTGTGCTGATGTCAAGTTGTGATTGGTCAACTCTAAACGGTGTATGACACATATATAATCTCTACCCTGCCAGTCTGCCAGCAGCTGTTGACCCTGTTATAGACCTTTCTGATCTAAATGTATGCTAAGTATTTAAACTGACCATAAGCATATATGTATATACATATTAACTTTCCTAGTTATTATTCAGACAGACAGCTGTCTGTCCGCTTTAATATTGAGCATCTTGTATGCCACTGTCCAGCACTCTAAACTTTCACAGCCAAACACATAAACACACACAATACACTCTGGCCTCATGCAGCAGAATGTTCCCAGAAAGCACTGTTGGCGTTTAAAAACAAAGCAAGCTGCTAATGGAACACTAAACGAAGCCCCTACCGATCCGATCTCCAACTATTCAGCATCGCTAAGGACTATTAAGGTCTATGTGGGACTGCCAAAGGCCACTGGGTCAACCTGACCTAATATTCAGACAGAGATCTGTCCCTTTATATATCAACATAATGCATAAATGCATAAAATGAGTGCTTACTTACATCTATAAATGTCCGTAGATTTAACTCTACAAGTAGAGCTCGCATTTGTAACGGACGCTGAGCATGGGTGATAATCAAAAGAAGCATCCGCTGTACCGAAAGGCTGAAATCGTACCAATTGCTAGCATAGTAACCAAAACCCAGGGCACTGTGCTGTGGGTGAAGATGATAAATAAATTGTAGAATCTATTTTTAAAAGCACACTTACCCATTCTACTATAAGAGTTGCATGCCAATGGTAGACCCATAGTATCGAAGCCATTACGAATATATACAAGAATATGAAAAAGCAGTCAATTTTGCTTGGGCTCTAAATATGGCCACACTAATTAGTCTAGATACAGGTAAATACAGGTAAGAATGCTGTGACTTACACCAAGAGTCAGCGCACAGAATAGAAAGCAAATTAGAACAGAAAATATAATGAAATCCGCCATCACTGGTACGCATATAAGAATTTCCAGTTCCCGCACAAACTGTAGTATCTTCAACTCTTCCTTTATGAAGGAAGTGCACAGCTGCAACCGCAAGCGGTTCACCTCGTCAGATGTTAGTTCCGTATGTGACTTTGATCGACTAATGCGAGAAATCTAAAAGCGAAAATTGCTATAAGTAGAAAAATTTATTTTAGGAATTGCCACTTACATCCATTCTCTGCACTCGTCTATTGAGGATTTCTAGCCTCAAAGTGATATATTTCATCAGAGCGGTGACAAAAGTGTGCCATAACGGTATGGTACTAACGCCCAGAAAGAGCGCACCCCAAGGGCCGAGATAGCCAACAAGAAAATTATCAATCACTTCCCCGAAAGGATATAGCTGAAACAATAAAATTGGTTTCGCTTCACCCCGTACAACGGCAGGCACATTGAAAACGGACTCCGGGTAGAAAATAGTTCGAAAGATACAGTCCAGCCAGGCCAGTAGACCTGCGGCTACCGAGGGAACCAATAGCATTAGCGTTATGGTGCTTATGTAGCTCTGAGTCGAGTGAAGCATCGTCAGTTCCTGTTCATCAGCCTCGACCAGAAAGCGCTGAAGGTCATCATGAGCTATGCGCAGTAGGGAAATAACTCCTGAATCCCAGATAGACGGATAATTTATAACCTAGGTATATACTCATGGGTAGCTTATCACTTACGTTCTCGTTGCACGTAGGCATTGAGTGTAGCTATAGATACGGCAAAATATTGCACGGCTGTGGCGCAGGTAGTCGCTCCATCGTTTAGATTATCATAGCCACGAACTACGCGGGCTAGCAGCAAAACACAGCTCAACCAGATCGAGGCCGTAAAGATGGTGCAGCGCAGTAGATGCAGCCAAGGATTGCGCTGATTCCGCGAAGAAACATAGCCATACCAGCGAAAGCAGCGCAGATGGGTGCTAAATATCGGATCATTAAAGGTATCTGGTGAGAGCAGAAGATCTTTGCCTTTGTACATGGCTGTGGTGTTGTCTGATTGCAAACCTTGCTTGCTGCTTGCCTTTATAGTCACGCCGAGGAAGTGTTAATTGACGCCGTTATTGGAAAGTCAAATTTGCATTTATAAATGGCGAAATGGTTCCTGCTAATAATAATTGACACTTAATTGACGTTATTATGGCAACAATCAGGGCCAGGTGCTTAGGATCTGCATTATTTACGAGTAGGTACATATACGGAACGTTTGGGTTCTCAAGGCTGGTATACCCGAACCGTAAGAGCGTAAGTTCAAAATTTTATATTTTTTGAATCACCTAACAGGAGGCACGTCAGACCCTCAAAGTATTTACGTACATATATGACCAGAGGAGTATACCCACTAGTTTTACTAGCAAACTCTCAAAAGATATCGTCGATTCCCAACTTACCCGAAAAAACCATTCTTATACTCTTTATATTAATATTAATTTACAAGCAGAGAAATCCACAACCATTTTGTTTCGATGGTGCTGAACTAAAAGTAGTTAGAACGGTATATTCTAAAAAACCGTAATTAATTATACTAATATTATTCGCTTTTAAATTTATTGTTATTGATTACATTTAATATTATTGTAAGGATTGTTCCTTTGATATTGTTGTTACAAGTAAGCTTGATTAATAATATGAAAATATGTGATATATTTATATGAATATAATGATAATATATGAGTTACTATGAAAATACCAACATTGAATATTTCTGTTAGCTCGAATATCATTTTTACTAAGCTTTTTATACTCTGTACATGAAATGTTATGTTTGTGTTAGGTTTGTGGGAGGTAAAAAATGTAACAGGCAGGAGGAGGCGCGGCAGACCCCACTAAGAATATACATGTTTTCTTGACCAGCATGACAAGACGAGTCGATCTAGCCTTGTCTGCCTATTTGTCCGTCCGTATGAACACCTAGATTTTAGAGACTATAAGGGAAAGAGAGACCAAAGTTTTCACAAAGATGCCTTCTGTGTGTATGCTGTGCAAGTTTGTTTATTTTTTATAGTCTGTACCCAAAGGGTGAAAGGCTATACTAGTTTTGTGGCAATGTATGTAACAGGCAAAAGGAGGCAGACCCCACAAAGTATATATACAGGGTGCGCCATCTTTTATGTCGGTATGTAAATATTGAATAACTTTGTTATTAGTGAACCGATTGACTTGAGTAGACCAGTGTTGAAAACCAGAACCAAATTAAATAAAAATATCTCATACTTGAAAATCGGTTGTTTATTTTCAAAGATATTCAATGTTTACATACCGACATAAAAGATGGCGCACCCTGTATTCTTGATCAGCGTAACAAGCCTAGTCGATATAGCCATGTCCGTCTGTCCGTCTGTATGAGCGCAAGGATCTGAGAAGGTACACGAGCTAGAATAACCAAACTTGGTATCCAGGTTCCCCTGAGTCCTAGGCAGGTCAAGCTTGTTTTTTTTATTCTGATACACCTCCCCACTCCCCCGCAATTCGTGTTTTTTTTTAATAACTTCCGTAATTCTTGGAATTTTGGTAGTTAAATCCAGTTAGTGCTTATGTGTCCGTGTGCCTACAGGCATAGACAGGTGATGTAAAAGTATGCTGTTAAAACTGTACATAAACATGTCTTGTATGTATTAAATACATTTTCTTTATTAATTTAAATAATTAATTCGATTTTTTTTAATAATTTAATATTTTTAAAGTTTTTTAAAGGACCTAGGAGAATCTGGATACCAATTTTGGTTATTCCAGCTTTTATAGTTTCTGAGATCCTTGCGTTAATCCAGACGGACGGAGAGACGAACGGACAGCCGGATGGTCATGTCGAGATCGATTTCTTTCGTTATGCTGATTCAGAATATATATACTTTATGGGGTCGGAGCTGCTTCCTTCTGCATGTTACATACTTTGCATAAACCTAATATAGCCTTTTTATCCTACGGGTACAGGGTATAAAAAATTGTTGGCAAAAATATCAAATATAACGCATAAGTCCACAGCAGTAATCAGCCATCATGTGAATTTCCCATCTGCCTTGGTACCTTTTCTCTATTGATTTTATATCTTCATGGAAGCATTATCCTTGTTCTTCACTAAGATCTCCTAAGATAGCCTAAAGTTTTGAAGTTAAGCAGCATTTGCTCGACAATCTCTATAAAGTAGTTATCAGCCTTATACTAGAAAAAATATCCACGCCAGTTTTTCTTTTTTAGTCAAAGTTTGTTCAAATTTAAAATAATTGACGTATTTGAGGCTCATCAAAAATTCCTGCTTTTAATTTCTCAGGACTCAATCCAGGAAATGTTTTAGGATTTGATGTCTCCACAGTATTTAACGTCATCTTCTTTAAAAATTTCTTATTATTTCTCATTATCCTCCCCAGATTTCTAAGCTGAATGATGAAAACTTGGTATTGGAATAGTGTCTAAATGGAGAATAGGTCTTATAGCTGAAGAAATATTTTGATACTTCCACTTTTAGCGGTTTTTTGTTGTTGTTTCCCATTACATTCGTCATACATAAATAACAGTAGTCACGATGACGTTTTGTTGTTCTCGCTAAATCATTGGTATTCCAAGCTTCAAAGATTTTCTTGTTAAGTTCAATGTTCAATGCATATTTTAGAAACACTATGAGGCAGCCACATTTTAACATTTTAATACCAAAGTAAGCAAAATACAAGCGAATTACAGTGTTGGTAATCGATTTTCTCTGATCTTTCAATATGTATTCACCACAAGTACTTGTATAACAAAACTTATCAGGATCGTTGGTACAACATCTTAACTTGCTTGCCATAATAAAATAATAATATAAATTTCATAGGAGTTATTTCAAAATTGACTGTTTTCAAAGAGGACCGCCAAAGAGTTCAAATGGGAACAGTAGGTGTCAGCTGACATTGACTAACGGCAGATACAACTACAGATACAGCTGCACCAAACAAAAAATTTGTTTGGTAGGCCTGTGTAATTAGTCATATTGTTACAGGTTTCGATGAAATCGGGGCTTGAACGAGTGTCCGCGAAAACAACTTCTGAGGTTGTCCCGTACGAATGCAATTGCAATTAGTTTGGAAATATATGAAATATATATATATATGAAATATACTTTTTATCTTCACAGCAACCTACCGAATCAGTTAAACGATGCCTTAAAATGGATATATCTTTTGTTTTGTGATTTTTATACAATGTGGTAAGAATTCAAATTCAAATTTATCTGCAAAATTTTTGTTCCGTTGTCTCATGATTGCCATTATGATGTGATTATAGATGCAATTCGAGGGGATATACGATAATGGAAGCAGTCTAGCTGGCCACTTAAATGTTCAGGTTGCTAACTGGCAAACAAATTCCATTTACTATACTTGTTTGTAGTTTATCGAACGGCAGGAAAAGCAATAGATAGAGACGGTTCTGAAGGCAGAGCTAGACTGCTATTTGTACTCGCTAATAGTATTAAATGGAATGCAATACTTTTGATGGCAAATCTGCAATGCGTGGTTTGTGACAAAGCAAAAATTCCCAGACACTGCCACTGTACTAACATACGAGTATGTACATATGTGCGAGTGGGCTCATACAGTCCTCTAAAAAAACGTTCGTACACTCACAAATGCAAAGTTACTTGGTTTATCTACTATAAAGCACCAAATACAAAACAAGTAAAAGCTAAAGTCGGGAATCCCGACTTTGAAATACCTTGTGCACGTCTCTAGCTCTTGTACAAATAAAACGGATTCAAAGGGGTCTGCCTTGCCTCCTTTTGTCTGGTACATTTATCTCTGTGCAGTTCATATATACGGTATAAAGAGTAGACCCATAAAAAATATAAAAATTCAATGGTTTTAGTTTTCAGAACCAGCAACATCATCAGCCAACTATCACTAAACACACAAATTATCCAAAATATATAACATTCATCGTTATATTTTGTTTGAAAATTGTATTCTGTACGATTACTTTTTTAAATAATAAAGAATGCTTCATGAAATGGATTTATGTATGTACATACATATACATATGCACATATATTTGTATGCATATATGTATATATGCATATAAGTATGTATGTATGTATATGAAAAGTTGTTTATTTGTAAGTGTTTCGAACGCATCTACAATCATATGCATTTTTGTGCTGTCCCTGCTTTTGCCTCTGGCCTCGTTGAGTAATTCGCACGCCAATACATTGCCAATATACGAGTATGTATATTGTATCCAACGGATATTGTATCTCATGACAAGTGAGCGTTGGTGTGGGTGGGTGTCGTTGGGCCGAATGTTGTCTATTTTACAATTTGCATTTAATATCCTTGTGTGAATAATTTACAAATGCAATAAACGTAAATGCGTTTTATAAAACGCACTCAGACATGGTTGGCCTCAAACCAAAGCTTCAGTATTGAACCAAGCCGAAACTCAAACCTAAACCACGGCCACCCACTGCCATTGAGATGCTGTAGACGTCGTTCTTCCTTAGCTTCAGCCAATGTTATGCTTCAACAGCCAGGCGCCGCATATCCTCCCGAGTCCTGAGCACGCATATTTGTCTGTTGCATGTTTGCAACTGTCTGTTATGCTTGTGTTCGAGTTTGTGTTTCCAAATGTGTAAATGCGTTCAGGCTCCGGTTCTCTTGTCTGCTCGCTGTGCATGTTTATGCACGTGTGTGCTTGTTGTTCGTGTGAAATTTGCTGTAAGCAATAAGCCTGTGAGGATATTCAAAGTCACTCGTTTCTGGTATTTACTTATGCATTTGTTTCATGTTTTGTAAAATGATGCCTTGGCTTTTCAAATGTTCACACATATCAACCTCTATACATATACTATACATATGTACGTATGTATACATATAAACCTGCATTTGAGTTGTTGAATATTCAAGCAATTGTAGGTATGTATGTACACCATTACATGGGTTCTACTTGTGACTTGCCACATAACACTTTTCGAGTTCTCCTATTAAAGTAGTAATCCATTTGTCGATTTTGGTAATT